TTTTTTTTTTTTTGGAGGCAGAGTCTCACTCTGTTGCCCAGGCTAGAGTGAGTGCCGTGGCGTCAGCCTAGCTCACAGCAACCTCAAACTCCATGGCTCAAGTGATCCTCCTGCCTCAGCCTTCTGAGTAACTGGGATTACAGACATGTGCCACCATGCCCAGCTAATTTTTTTCTACATATTTTTAGTTGTCCAGCTTATTTCTTTCTATTTTTAGTAGAGACAGGGTCTTGTCTGGTCTCAGGCCGTTTCTAACTCCTGACCTTGAGTGATCCTCCTGCCTCGGCCTCCCAGAGTGCTAGAATTACAGGCGTGAGCCATCTCACCTGGCCTGTATAAAGTTTTTAATGTTAAATATCCCCTCCTCAATTTGTATTATTTTAAATGAACTGAGATAATTCAAGTAAAGTGCTAAGCACAGTACCTAGTGCAACATTAAGCATTCTATATGTCATGTATATTATTTAAAATAAATTTTTTTCTTATGGCCCAGAGATCTGGCTTTTATTTTTTTGTGACGTCTACTCTGTTGCACAGGCTAGAGTGCCCGGCCCAGAGTGCCCAGCTGGGTATTTCTTTTTATTAGAATTGGGTTATACATATTTGGTAGAAATACCATAGAAGTGATGATCTGTTCATAATGTATCTTACCATGATGTGTAGGATATGTTTGTCCTGTATACTAATGATCAATTTTATCAATTGGTTAAAGTGTTATTTCTCTAGTGTCTTAGAGATACAAAGTCCAGTTTTTAAAAATATAAAATGGATCGTCATAGTTACTTTTTTTTTTTTTTTTTGAGACAGTCTCGCTTTGTTGCCCAGGCTAGAGTGAGTGTCATGGCATCAGCCTAGCTCATAGCAACCTCAAACTCCTGGGCTCAAGCAATCCTACTGCCTCGGCCTCCCGAGTAGCTGGGATTACAGGCATGCCCCACCATGCCCGGCTAATTTTTTCTATCTATATTAGTTGTCCAATTAATTTCTTTTTATTTATAGTAGAGATGGGGTCTCGCTCTTGCTCAGGTTGGTTTCAAACTCCTGACCTTGAGCAATCTGCCCGCTTCGGCCTCCCAGAGTGCTAGGATTATAGGTGTGAGCCACCGCACCCGGCCCATCATAGTTAACTTTGCAGGATGTTTGTAAGGAGTTAGAAATTACATGAGGATGTGATCAGGAAATGGTAACCTTTACTCATGCTGTATATTCCACATAAGTTACGATTATGTGATTATAGTATTATTTGAAAGTTATGATATAAAATGTCATGGAAAATGCATGGTTCCTGATCAACTGAAAAATAGGCAAAATTATAGCAAAACTGTTGAACATTGAAGAAAAAAGCCGATTAGCGTATAGTATATAACTTATTAGACTAAGTTAATGTTTATCTTTGGAGCATAAGGATGATTTTTTTTTTTTTTTTTTGAGACAGTGTCTCACTCTGTTGCCCAGGCTAGAGTGCCATGGTATCAGCCTAGCTCACAGCAACCTCAAACTCCTGGGCTGAAGCGATCCTCCTGCCTCAGCTCCGAGTAGCTGGGATACAGGCATGCGCCACCACCGCCTGGCTAATTTTTCCTGTATACATTAGTTAGCAATTAATTTCTTTCTATTATAGTAGGAGATGGGGTCTTGCTCTTGCTCAGGCTGGTTTCGAACTCCTGACTTCGGCGCAGTCCGCCTGCCTTGCCTCCAGAGTGCATAAGGATGATTTTTAAAAATCCACTTCATTTTCCAAATTTTTTTGGGTGACAGATTTTCAGTAAAAAACATTTGGCTTTATTAGAAAAGTTGTCAGCACATTTTCACTGTGAAAGCAGCTTAGCTCATAAGCTTTGTGAATGGATGAGATACAGAGGAAGAGCTTTGGTAATGATTCTTTCTTGGCAAGATATTTTCACTTGAGAGTTGGCTTGGTGAATGCCACTAATGTTTATCTTAGGGGTGGTGCACTAATTTATGTTTAACGTACAATTTACCAGTTGATCCTGCTTTTTTCCTCTTTTTCCCAAGCTGTACAGATCTCTTCACTTCTTAGAGCTCAGCCTGGTAACTGCCTTATACTCTGATTTATGTTGGGGCTTTGTTATTGAATAGTGATTGAATTGTATTGATTGTGTATCAGATAAAGTATTTTTTTTGTTGACTAAGATAGGGTATTTTACAAAGGTAAAAATTATTTGACGTCCTGATTAAAAATCATTATATGCTAGTGTTATATCACTGAAGAGAAATGCAGGTTATATAAGTCATGGTACCTAGGCTGAAAAAGCTAAGTGTTTGAATAAATCATAATTGGCATTTATCTTATTAATTATATGTTACTTATTAATTAATAGTGACTTTACAGTTAGAAATGTATGGGTAAAGCAGTATCACAGTGAAAATATATAAACATGTATAAGCCCCAGACCATCCCTTATAGCAGAGTGCTTTGATTGATTGATTGATTGATTGATTGAAGGCAGGGTCTCATTCTGTTTTTGTAGAAACGGGTGTCTTGGTATGTTGCTCAGGCTGGTTTTGAATTCCTAGCCTCAATGTTAAACAGTCCTCTTACCTCTGCTGCACAGAGTACTGGGACCACAGGCATGAACTACCACGCCCTGCCGCACCTGGCCAAAATGCTATTATTAATAACTATCTGGGCAGGCGCGTGGCCACGCCTGTAATCCTAGCACTCTGGGAGGCCGACGGCGGCGGATTGCTCAGGTCAGGAGTTCAAACCAGCCTGAGCAAGAGTGAGACCCGTCCTACTATAAATAGAAATTAATTGCCAACTAACTATATATGAAAAAACTAGCCGGCATGGTGGCACATGCTGTAGTCCCAGCTACTCGGGAGGCTGAGGCATAGGATCACTTGAACCCAGGAGTTTGAGGTTGCTGTGAGCTAGGCTGATGCATGGCACTCATTCTAGCCTGGGAAAAGTGAGACACTGTCTCAAAAAAAAAAAAAATAACTATTCTGCTTACATCCTTTAGTGAGTTTCTGTCTACTCATTCATGGCTTATTTTGTTAATATTTTAATGGGTGGGGGGTTCTTTGTTTTTGTAAATTGTGTACATTTCATTTCAGTACAATTCATATTTAAGTATTGCTGCCTTTAGAGCCATCATTTGTGCTGTTTCCTCCCTGTCCCATTACTTATTCATACTTTTTTTTTCAGAAAGATTGCAGCACAGTCCCTGGCTTTGATCTATCTTGTACTCTGTGACATTTTACATGAGTGTTTTCTGTCTGAAATGTCTTGAATCAAGGGCATTCTTGTAGTCTTGTAATATTAGGCTGTGATGAATGAGTACTCAATTTCACTATGTTGGATTTTTTTTTTTTGAGACAGAGCCTTGCTCTGTCACTGTGCTATAGTGCCTTGGTGTCAGCCTAGCTCACAGCAACCTCAAATTCCTGGGCTCAACATCTTAAGCCTTAGCCTCCTTGGTAGCTGGAGTACAGGCATGTGCTACCACTCCTGGCTAATTTTTTCTATTTTTAGTTGTCTGGCTCATAATTTTTTTTTTTTTGAGACAGAGTCTTACTGTGTTGCCCAGGCTAGAGTGCCATGGCATCAGGCTAGCTCACAGCAACCTCAAACTCTGGGGCTCAGGCGATCCTCATGCCTCAGCCTCCCAGTAGCTGGGACTACAGGCATGTGCCACTATGCCTGCTAATTTTCTATATAGTTTTAGTTGGCAATTAATCTTCTTTTATTGTAGTAGAGATGGGGTCTCACTCTTGCTCAGGCTGGTTTCGAACTCCTGACCTCAGCGATCCACCCACTTGGCCTCCAGAGTGCTGTATTACAGGCGTGATCCACCGTGCCCGGTCAAATGCATAAACTTGTAAACCAATCCCCTATGAAATAGAGAACTTACCCTTGTCTTAGAATGCTGCTGACATTTGCTTAAGTTTGTTTTCTTTGTGCAAACATCCTGCCTGCTTTAGAGATCTGGTGCTTCTCTTTATGTACTACTGACTGCTCTCTCCTTGTCAGTTCTCTTGCCTCTAAGTCTCATTTCATCTTTCTGTGCATTTTCCACTTCAGACTCTTTGCATGT